ATGGCGCCATGAGCCCTGTATTTGGGCAACAACGCGCGAGCGGGGTACATGCTTCACTTTCGTCCACTCTTCGTGCGCAGTTTCGGCAGGGTCGTACGTGTGAATGACACCTTCGAGCAAGAAGTGCGCTCTGCCTAACCAGCTCTCCTCTTTGTACTCGATGACCGTGCGAAGGTGAGACCCGTCCTTTGCGCCTGTGCAGGTGATGATCGACGACTCGCTGACCGTGATGTAGAAGCTGCCTCGCAGGATTCCGTTTACGGCGGCGATGGGGTGAGTGATATGGTACGATTCGCCCTCGCCAGGGCCGCCATTGACATTCACGAAGATGCCCTTGTTGTATGAGCCCGGCATTACACGCACAGTCGTCCCGCTGACTTTCGCCGAGATCTGGTCAACTCCCATCATCTCCAGGTGGCGGCTTGGGCATGCTGCGCAATAGGCGGAGATAGGCGGATGATGGGAGATTTGCTCGGTGAGGTAAACTATGCGGGCACGCGGACGCTCCGCAGAGAGAGGCGGGTCATCGGCTTCGATGAGTTCGACTGAACGCGATGCTTCGGACTTTGTGCTGGAGCCAGAGCGCGCAAGATTGAGCCGTGACATCTCAGCGTCGAGCTGCGCATCGAACAGGTCCGGAGAAGTGGCCGGCGTAGTCTTGCCAGTAGTGGGTGTCCCAGGTCCCGTGGTAGAATACGATGTGCCCCGAGATGCAGTGCTGAGCGAGCTCTTGACACTGAGACCACTCTTGCCGCTCTTACCACTCCTGACGCTAGCGGTCTCCGAGCGGGAAGTGTCACGAGGTCCCAAAGTAGAATATACAGACTCTGCAGCAGCTGGCGAGAGATACAAGTGCTGAATGGGGGGGAGATTGGGGTCGGAGTCGTAGCTGACAGGAATGACGTCCCAGTGCGAACGGAAATGTTCACCGAGGACCGAGTTGTAAGGCTTGACCACTTTACCGTGCTGCATAAGGATTGATCAGAGTCAGAGATAGAGAGCTGACGAAGGGGAGACATACAATGAACTTCAGATCTTTGGAAAAGGCGAAGCGAAGCACCGCCAGCATGCGTTCGAACGAATCGTCTGAGTCATTGATACTATCACAATGCGATATGAGCTGCCAAAGTATCGCAGTCTGTACGTATGCTACTCACGCAGCAAAGAGGTCGGGGCGATCAAGATAATGCCAGTATTCAAGATTGGGAATAGGCTCAAGCAGAGACGCCGGTAGAGAGAGTCGCCTACAGTCCGCAACCCACAAGTGATATACCGAAGGCAGAGTAAGCCATGATATTGATGTAGTAAGAAGGCAAGTAACGCGTACATTGAAGCAATATCCTTAACCCCGAGACATTTCTTGACAAGCTGGACGATCATCTTGAGCCTACCACCTTCACCGTTATCGCCGCTGTCGGGCATTGTCACCGCTTGTGTCTCTTCTTCAGCGGGCTCGACGCGTGAGTTGCCAGCAACATCGACAGTGGAAGCCATAATTCTAGAAAGCTGCACGTAAAATGAACAGTCAAGAGGGGAGGAGGTGGAGGAGGTGAAGGAAAGGCGGTGGCAAAGAGAGAGGGCAAGCAACCAGGTCGTCGCTGCTGCCAAGCTCGTAGACGCTCGCGGTGGGGGTCTTTTTTTGGGAGTGCTAAAAAGGTTAGGGTTTGCGAATAGGGTTAAGTCCACGAACGTGCCTCCAGGCGGGGCCCCGCCGCCCCAGCCAACCATATTTTTATGTTCGGCTCAAACGATCCCGGGACAACTGTTCAAGACAAAAAACATCCCCAGCATTTCATTGTGCCAGGCCTTCTCTCCTCGTCGGACCTAGCATCTGACGGTGCTTGACGGGTCAATGAGGCTTGGGTTTCACGAGGACGATGCCGTCTGATCGAAGTGATTGTTCTGTAGATAGAAGCGGTGCTCGCAGCCAAGTTAACGCTTGGGCTCTCACGTTAAGCATTGCTTTCGGGATGGATATATTGTACACTCCGAGATACACCGCGGCGCAGTACGATGCGTTCTGAATCATTCTGGGCTTGGATGTCCGGAAACTTCGAGCTAACTTTGTCCCTATAAGATTGGCTTGTAGACATGTATGACATCGTGGTATACCTACGGCGATAACACATTCGAGCAGTTATTTAGCAACGACAGGCCGCCTCCAGGCGATTGGTGGTACAAATCAAAACCTACAAGATAGTCCAGTGATGTCCAAGACACAGGCGTGAAGGGTAAAGGGCAGAGTCTGAGATAGCTGTTCCAGGACGACGACTAAGGAAACAACAATGCCTTGAGTTTTAGACAGCAAGTTATGACCGTAATGTGCTTCCGATCTGAAAGCGTTCACACAGATATCTTGAGCAAAGCGTACGCTGCATATTCATGTTCCCATAGGGGAGCAGTCCTTATACAGAGACACGTTTGTGAGCACAGTTTGGGTGCAAGTGTACATTCTATGCATACTGATGACTCACAGATTGTGTGATTATACTGCTAACTTGAGCACCCGCCTTGGGTTCTTGCTGGTCAAAGTGTCTGATGTCGAAATGACATGCGTTCACAGCTAGCTCGTGCATGCTGCTCAAAATGGGCTCTCGGACATTGAGTCTATCAAATGTTGAGTAATGTGTAGCTCCTATGTATATTATCGTTGCACTCACATAGTTAAGAGCATAATCGTGTATACTGCTCAAGGTTGATGGAAAGAGCTAGTGATCAGCGAGCGCCATGGTAAGATATCATTCGGCCACTTACATTTGCTGAGCATTATATTAAAGAATAGATGATAGTTCAAGAAGGGTTTCAAAACGTACTGCAAACATGAGCCGGATGAGTTCGACGGTGATCAGGTATGATCGACTTTAAATGAGCCGTACTGCCATAAGGTCCGCAAACTCAACTGCGCTGGAATGCAGCATCAGAACCTTTCTCGAGAGCATTTTGTATAAGCTTACCCCATTAAAAGTCCTGCGCACAGGGTCACAACTATAAGCTTCGATATCGTGCCATTAGACCTTAGAGTATGTGTTGTGTTCAGCAGTCGAGTTCAAGTTGACGTGTGGTGGGAACCATCTCACCGTTCGAAGCCGGTGCGCGTCTTGTACAGACATATTGCCATGACAGTGGCAAGAATCAGGTCTCCAAGTAGTACGAAAACGAAGGCTGTGGTACCAGAAACCTAAGAGGGACAATTTGAAACTATATGACTAATATTGAACGTTGGTACTCACTTTCCCAGTCATTAACGCAACAGGGGCTGACCTGATGGTCAGACTAATGCGACTAGGTGAAATTATAATCCAAGATTAAAGTCATAAACACGCACTTATGGATAAGGAATCCTGACGATTGTAAGACGAGTCAGATCAACACTCATACTAGAGCATGAGAGACATACGGATAGTCAGAACTACGACATGGACCCCAGTATCAGTGTATCGGTTAACTCGAGTGAACATAACACTTGCTAAATTCGCCGACAACCCACAAGACCTGCGTGAAAGTTAGTATTTTGTGTAGCAAGGAGCCGAGAATATGCTACCCACGCAAAATGACACAACCCATTTACTGATTGCCATGTAGTACTGTTGAGTGACTGCCATGCGAAACCGGTCAGTGAATCCATGCATACTTGGTATGGTCCTAAATGATGGACTGACATTTCCAAATACGAACTATGAAGTAGCTGATCCAACAAGCCTTGTTAGCAAAGAAGCCTGTGTCTTATGTGGATCATTCCTACCTGTGCACTAAAATGCCGACTACGACCTGAACTCATGATGAACCGGTGTCTAAGAAGCCGACGAAGCGATGTTGAGCTTACAGTGGTCATCATCCAGACCTGTGGATTGTCTGTAAGATCGACCTGCAATATTGGACAAAATTGGGTCTCACCGCTACAGCCCTGAAGTAATCGGATTCAGATTTTCTGCAAGAGTATCAGCGAAAGTTTCCTTACCAAGGATTGATAAGGAGAACGGAGATGTTGCCATAGTTTAAGACAAGGCAGTAGTACACGAAATACGTGATGACCGCTTGATGAGACGAATCGAGAATCCTGATGCGGGGTTAACGTTATGGATGCCAGACAGAAAGGGGGGTGTTGGGGCTCACCAAACACTTGCAACCTGTGCGTTGTCGTAATCTAGTAAGCGATTTATCCAAGAGGTAGATCGGCGTACCATAAACTTTAGAAGCCATGGATCATCTCGCGATCTTTGCGACCTAACATAAGTAACAAATTGACAGCAGACAACGCCGTATAGTCTAGACACCGCCCGGAGTTAGCAAAACGAATTCCAGGGATTGAAAATGACTACGTACATGGCCGCAATCATAACACCCAGATATAGGATCCCCAAGAGTCCATTGATATCAATATCGGTTCTTATGCTGTGGTCCACAGGGCCGTTGGCTGAGGGGATGCGCATCGCAGTAGAGTGAGATGACGCTCTGTCTCAAGCGTAATATATAGAGTCTTTGGATCGTGAAACCTAATACGACACCGCCGCTTTCTAGAAAGTAGTCTAGCAGCCCAGGAAGCAACACTGGTGGCGCACAGTAGTAACAGCATGTGTCGATACTCATCTTTTACGGGATTCCAGTGTAGTTAGTCTCTAAGCGTGACGCGAGTATCTCTGACGGGATCAGAATTACATGGAGCTTGCACAGCAGAAGTCAGCTCACTGCTGTGAGCGAGACTCGAGTGAATGTCTTCGTCGCTGGACGCAAGATTCTGTCAGTAAGAGAGATGATCGATGATCAGGATTTGACGTGACGTCCGTCGCGACTCGCGACGAACGCCACACCTTTCAATTACAGCTCCGATGCCCAGCGGCGATAGACCGTGATTCCTCTGCGTCAGAAGCCGAGTATACTTATCATCATGACTATCTGTAGAACCCTACTGCAACTGTTGCTGTACAGTGTACACGGGGGAAAAATGATTTCGGCACCGCCTGAAGACATTACATGCTGGATTGAAGTCAGAATCAAAAACATGGTTCGATCCGGGCTCGAACCGGAGACCTCCCGTGCGCAACATAGTTGTGAGACGGACGTGATAACCAACTACACCAACGAACCATAACATGCCATCCGTATGTCTTATCCCAACCGTATTCGGCCGCCATAGCTGAAGTTCTCAAAACGATGCTCGAAGTTTGTCTCATCCCCTTCAGTGCTTCAGTGGAATATCCGCGATTTGAGCACCGTAAGTTCATGCATCATATACGTGATACGCTAATGCTTCTTGTAGATGTTCAAATTCAACTTTGATTTTGACGACGTTGAGCTAGGCACAGATCCTACCCTAGTGGTGGATCACTCAGAGAAATGTACAAGCTCGTCAACTTCCCAGGAGCAACCCGCAGCCCACAAGATCTTCGCTGAACACAGTCTCACAGATCTTGTAATTATGGTCTCATTATGGACCCATCGTAGAATTTGATCGTACTGACATATGCGTAGATTGCCCAACTGCCTCCCGAAATATCGTATTCACCGTTGAACATAGTCCCACGCAAAGGAGATGACATAGAAATTAATATACCTCGCAGGGATCTTTTTGATGCTCGTTTCCAGCTCATAGCCTCTAGTTCGCCCGAAAACCCCAGCGGCGTAGATTCCACTAGTCTTACCGATCTTGAATACGTCGAAGCCCCGTCGGACCTCGTACCAGGTGTATATGAGGGTGGTCTGAAAACATGGGAATGCAGCATAGACCTAGCAACTGTGCTATACAGTCAACTGTCAATCAACGCTTTGAATTCCCCACGAATATTGGAAGTAAGCATCCATCAACTGTTCGTCATGTACGAACACTGATCTCATTTAGCTTGGCTGTGGAACGGCTGTTCCATCGTTGTATATTCTTCAATCTGTATTTTCAGCCGCGCCTGTACCAGGTCGCCGGATAGCTCTCCATCTGCAAGACTATAACGACCTTGTGTTTCGGTTGGTCACCCTTCCTAATGCTATTCTGGTTTGGTGTGCGCCTCCTTTCCCTCAAAATTAACATCGGCAGTCCTGACGCACTTGTCTTTTCAGACATGTCACACGCTTCACAACCTTTTCGGGAAGCATTTGAAACCGAGCGAAACTCCATATCAACGTCGAATGCGAAAGCATCAGATGACACTACGGAGCCATTCGGAGACCCCGCAGAGGAGGACGCAGAAGACAGAGATGTGCTTCCATCAGCCGACCCCACACAGCCAGGCGACCTTCCACTGCCTCCCGCACTACTAGCTGCCTTCCAACAATCGCTCTCTGACTATGGGATCGAGCTACGCTTCTTTTCCGGATCTTGGCAATCGTTCGATCTGGCTGCTGCCTCCACAACCGGCAAATACGACACCGTCATCACTTCAGAGACGATTTATCGTACAGACAGCTTGGGTGCACTCTTGGACCTGATGTGGCGCGCCTGTACTGGAAGAGAAGATGTCGAGCAGCCGCTTGAACAGCTTACCGATGAGAAGCTGAACATCGGTATCAAGGACCAGAAATCACCAAGTAGCTATCTCTGCCTCGTTGCGGCAAAAAAAGTATATTTTGGTGTAGGTGGCGGCGTAGCAGAGTTCATCCAGGCGGTGGAGACGGGTTTGCCGACTACACGAGCAAGGCCCAAGGGACGGGCAGAGACAATATGGAGACTGGACGAGGGTGTCAAAAGGAGCGTGATGAGGGTTGAGTGGCAACGGTGACAACCGCTATCTCACTTCTGTACCAGTCATTCACACCCCTTTATTACCACTCATCATAGCGCAAAGATGAGACGTCGCCTCATAATTGGAATTGTGGCAGAATAAAGCTGGATACAGTAGTGTACGAAGGTATCAACAATGTTCAATCAAAGCAGGTAACGACACGAAGAACATAACCAAAACCAACAATCAGTAGTCTGATGTCTAATCTTCACTAGCTGCCTTCTTCAGCGTGTCTTGCCAGTCGATAGCAAGTTTCGTCAAAGTCTTACTACGAGCTGGAAGACAGATTAGGTCAGTGAATTGGGTACTGCGCAATTTGGCTTGTACGTACCGAATACGTTCAGGACGTCTTTGAGCAAGTCACGTTTTGCCAACCCAAGCACCATTGGCGACCATGTATCGTCCCGTGTTCCGGGTCGCCTGTTAATGCAGATTAACACACATTAATACGCGTTTAGCTTGGCCAGCCCGAGAAAAACGAACCAATACACAGGGCCAAACAGTTCCTTCACCAACTCCTCTGCTTTTGCTCGGAAGCCCTCGTCCGCGATCTTCTTAGCGTAGAGCACGAGTGTATGCTTGTATTCTTGAGGACTGTCCAACGCCTTTGCGGCGTGGAGGCGCGTCTCCAGGTGCCCAAGCGTCAATGCCGCGCTCCACCAAGCTGGGCGAGCCGTCTCCGCGGTCGCACCTACAGGCGTGTGCTCGCTCACGCCGTTTTCAACGATGCTGACGACGCCGCGTGCAGACAACTGGCTATTGCCACGTTGTCTGCCCTGCCATGCGTCCGAGCCCTCAGCCCACCATCCGTCGCCGATCTTGGTCCATGCATAGAGAGCAGGATCGTACGAGTATGCCGTGCCGGTAGAGAGTTGGAAGATGGGAGCACCATTTGGACGGACTGAGGTGGAGAGCACTGTGCAGTTGGGAGAGGAGCTGAGGACGGAGGAGACTGTTGTCGGCGGGAAAACGGCGCGCTGCTGTTTTATGTTCCTATGTTCCTGCGCATTAGTTATTATCATAGATCCCAAGAACATGAACATACCAGACATGGACTTGACCCGAGGATGTAAGGAGCATGAGGCAGTTCTTCGCCCCGCTAAGCGAAGAGCATATGGAGCCAAAACTCATAGTAGGCATTAACCTGATTTTGATGTGAACAGACGGTCGGCCTGAACAACACAGCACTCACCGCCTGCCCGTTGGTGAATATACATTCAATGAACCATCATCCATGGCAACCGCACAGAACGCGCTCGTCGCGACCAATGCGATAATTGGAGATGGCACATAATCTAGCCATTGCGTCTGTTTGCCGCTGACATAAATGACCTCGTTTGGACCTGGACGACGCGATGAGTTTGTGAACCAGTGCATTTTGCGACAGACTTACTACCATCTTCCGAATTCCGGCCCTCCAAAATATCCTCGCTGCCTTCCACAGTAGCCTTCAGATATGTAAGTAAGGGCGGCATAGGTAGTCGGCCTGCCAAAGTTTGCCCTCCGAAATTTTCAGCAGGACCAACCAGCATCTGCTCGCTCCCCACCATACGACTTCCGGGTGCCAACTCACGGACTACAACTGTGTCGCGCACGCGGTCTCCACCCAGTGTGCGCGGCTTCGAAGGCCGCTCGTCGAGCAGATCCGCCGCGCTCGCCTTGCGTTTTCCTTTCCCGCTCGTGTCCAACGCGCTGATCTGCACCTCAGTAGTCATGTCCACGTCATCCGGATACGACAAGTCCATGCTGAGATCCTCGTTGGTGCTCAGACCGCCACTAGCGCCGTGTGAGTAGGCGTTCGCGGCAGACAGCGCTTCTGATAAAAGCGAAGGGGCGTGTGCGGGTCGGGAAGAAGAAGCGGTAAGTCCAATGACCTCGTGGAAGGATCTGCCATTGGTTTTCGGTGGCGCAGGTACGCTGGTCGAAGCGGACGGAATCGACATCGCTTCTGGGGGTGGATTTGCTGCAGACGGCACTGAGGCGCCAAGGGTACCGACGAAGGTAGGTTGTACGCGTTTCTTCTTGACGTTGCGCTTTGCGACCAGCATATTGACCTGTTCACCGCCATTGTGTGCGCCAAAGCCATCGTGTGAATGTGCCGCTGGCTGCGTCCTGCCAGGTGATGGCGGGGGTGTCATCTGAGAACTCGACTCTTTTATTGTGTGTGAGAAGCCCTCAGGCAGAGGTGGCGGTGTAAAACCGAACTTCTTGAGGTATTGATCTTGTGCGGAGGCAGGTGCAATACCCTCTAGTTCGTTCTGGTCAAAGCTGAAGACCGCCATGGTACCATCAGAGGATACGGCGTATAGCGTGAGGCCGTCGGAAGCCCTAGAGGATTACATAAGTCATGTGTACGGCGCGGTTTTCGCATGGTTCAAATGCGGCCTCTTACCAGCTGAGGTCCATGATCTGCCTGTCGAAGACTTCTTTCGCAACAACAAGAGGCCGAGCTGACTTTGTTTGCCAAACTGAGATCGAATGATCGTCAGCGCCAAGGGCTACCACAGAGCATATATTTGAGGCGACCACAGGTGCATTTGGGTCGCGTAAGAATATATGCGGGTTATAAGCCTATTATACTCGATAAGCATAAGAGAACATTTGCAGAATACGCATACATACCGCAACTTCGACCACATTCTCGTGACCGACAAGACTAATTTCGGATGTCCACGAGTTCCTAGCGATGACAGCAGCAATGAACACATATCCGTTGTTATTTGTTGCATTGGCAGCAGTGATGTGTGCACCATCTGGGGACCAGCTGAGAACAATGAGTATCGTACGCTGCGTTCGGGGAGTTTGATTACCTCGGTCGACGGAAGAATGTAATTGGGGACTTGTCGAAAGGCTTCTTGACCTCAGCCTCTTCCTCCCAATCTGTGGTTCGCCATATCTTGACTGACCGATCATCGGACTGGGTCGCTAAGAATTCGCCAACAGGGTCCCAGCACACGCCTTTGACGAAGCCTTGATGGCTGTCAAGCCGGCGTAGTCGTTCTATGTGGACAGTAAGTAGAAGTAGCATGCAAAATAAAGTTATGCGCACCAAGTGTGAACCCGCACCAGATTATTATCTGCGAGTCCAATCCTACGGAGGCCAGGTATCTGTCGTCGGGGGACCATGCCATGTCCGTAACATCTAGCACGAGTGGGTATTACCGTCCGAGTAGCAATTATAATACGACATACCGCTTTCATGGCCTGGAAGCCGTTTCAACGGTTTCCATCCCTCTACATTGATCTCATCCGACCCCCAAACTTTCCCTCGCGCCGAACTGTGTTGCCAGAGTTGACTCCCTCGAATACATCATTGAACACAGTCACTTACGGGTCGAGGTCCCAAATCATTATGATTGTGTCGTCACTTCCACT